TAGCTCTATTTTCAACTTTTTGAGGAACCTCCATACTGTTTTCCAGAGTGGCTGCACCAGCTTGCATTCCCACCAACAGTATAGGACGCCTCATTTCTAAACTTCTCTGTCACTCTAGTCAAATAGCAGAGGTTATTCAAACTCACATTATTTTTGCCACACTGAATAAAGGAAGAATCCAAGGAGGGTCTTTGGGAGATTTTCAGGGAAGAGCCACATCCTAGGGAGTGGGTAATTTTGCTGTTCTCTCTTTAGCTCTCCCTGTGGTTGTCACTTTGGTTGGTATCTAGATGCCAAGTTGGTTGAATAGTTTCCATGAAGAAAGACTCTTCGTTGGGAAATTCTCTCTCCAGCCTGCAGAGCCAGCTGCATTTCTGCCAAGGACCAAGGCAGGCTTGAGACACTGGTTTGAAGGCAGGGGACAGGCAACTTAGAAAGGAAGCAGGTGAGAAGGGAGGTGAAGAGGGGAAAGGCAGAGGGGACAGGATCTGAGCTTATTGAACCAGCCTATTGTGTTTCCTGCCGGCGGTCCTGCCTCTCTTTAATCCATTTTCCACACAGCCACCATTGATTTTCCTAAGCATAAATTTGATTGTCTCATTCCCTTGCTCTAAACTCTTCGGTGTTGCCTATTAAGCTGAACATCAAGTCCAAGCTCCCTGACATGATGTATAAGGCCCTTCACCATCTGTTTCTTACCATGATCTATCTCACCTCTACCTACTTTCTGTATCACACTTGATGCTCCGTTAATATTGAATGGCTTACAGATCTTTCTACCTTGCCTCCCCTGCTACACTCTTAGACACACAAAAGGCAGCCCCCATGTCCTTGCCTATGCAAATCCTTCTGCATCGGACCCTGTGTCCACCTTTCTTTGCGAATTCCTGTTTATACTTCCAAAACACAGCTCAGATACTACCTCCTCTAAGAAGCATTTTTCCAAGCCCTTCAGGGGGGGTTTCTGTTTCCTCTGAGTTCCATGGCACCTGTGCTTAGCCCATTATACTGAAATTGTTTATTTACGTGTCTGTCTTCCCCACTAGACTGAGAGGTTCTTGGAGGATGGGACTAAAAGCATTCAGTATTTGAGATGGTGGTGAGTGATACAGAGAGGGCCAAGGCAGTGGTCTTATGTACCTTTCAGAAGTTGCCATGGTTTGGGCTTCCTTTCTGTTCAGCAGATGCCTGCTTTCTCACTGCCTTTAAATATTTGTGAAAAGTTGTCCATGCAATTATTCATTGGACTCCTGGCTCTAGGAAATGTTTACAATTTAAATGGGTGCTTTTAGTGCCTTCCTTTTAGGGAACAATGGAATTTCAGGTCCTAAGGCAGGCTGATGTAGAGACATTTTCCTTGGCCCATGGGCCGCATGCTGTAGGAAGCTATCCACGAAGCCTGTGTTTAGGGTCAACCCTCAACCCAATGAACTCTGATCACCGTAGTGATCTGTGAATACTCAGTTAATTTGTCTTTAGGAGAACAAAATATGGGCATTTGATTCTAGGGCTCTAGCTAGAGTGTGAGGTTCTTGAGGAAAAAGATGGTCTCCAACTTGTCTGGGCGCTCTCAGAGGGCTCTGTAATACGGGAGAGGCTCTGAGGGGGTTCTGGCCAACCCTGCTGATTTATTGGAAGGTTTATCTTTTTGCATTATACCTAAACCAGCATGGAGGCAACATTTTGATACAGTTCAACCAAGATTGGTTGTCCTGTGCTTCAATTCCCAAGGCGCTATCTTTACTAAGTCTTAAATAAGAGCCAGCGCAAGGGAAGTGAAGGATGGAGATAGATGGATGGACCATCAGACTTGGCTGCTCTCATCACATTATCATTTCTCAGAAATTTTAAATGATTCTTACTGAACAATTAAATGGAAGGACTCATATCTTATAGTATCTGTAGGAAAATGTGCTTTAAGTAGCAAGATCCAGTCTGTCCTTATTGGAGAAATGCCAGTTCTACTGATGGAAAAGATTTTCTCAGACCATCTGTCAGTTACAGCAGTCTGTGTTTAACCCCTTCTGTACCAGCAGAAAAGAATTCACTAATCTAGGAAGTTGCTTTGGATGCTGTGGGGGATAAGACATGGTGCCTGCCTTCAAGGGGCTTAACATTTGAGGAGAGACAAGAACTAGAGGCTCAGGGATAAAGTTGGCCAAACATACTAAGTGCGATAGTTGCCAAATGTGGTAGAAGCGCCAGTGAGAGAGGGTGATTACTTCTGGCTAGGGGCTGGGGAAATTTCCTTTTTTTAAAAAAAGATTTTATTTATCCATTTGACAGAGAGACAGAGAGAGAGGGAACACAAGCAGGGGGAGTGGGAGAGGGAGAAGCAGGCCTCCCGCAGAGCAGGGAGCCCGATGGGGGACTCGATCCCAGGACCCTGGGATCATGACCTGAGCCGAAGGCAGACGCTTAATGACTGAGCCACCCAGGCGCCCCCCGGGGCCAGGGAAATTTTGATGCAGGCATCTGAAGGCAGGGGACAGGGGCGGGAAGTGTGGGCACTCTGCTAGAGGGACTCGCGTGTTCAGTGCCGATTGAGGTGCCAAGGTCCAGCATCTGTCTGCACAATGGGAACAGTCTGGTGCTATAGGATTAGGGGATGTGGAAATCAAAGTTGGTGGGTTGAGGTCAGATGAAGGGCATTACTTGACTGTCAGATTAAGAGGTCAGCATTTTATTCTATAGACAATGGGTTGTAGGTGGCAGGATTTATAGTATCAATACCTTGTTCAGAGCTGTGCCCAGGGAGGATTATTTGGGCACCTTAGGAAGTGCGGGTTAAGTCCTGAGCTGTTTTCTCTAACCTCAGGGGAGGGAGAAAGCGATTCATGGTTTCTGCTAATCAAGACATGATGCATTGGGTTTTAGAGACTTAGAACTATATTTTTATTTTATTATTTGCTACTATATTGATAACCAACCCTGAGGTCACTGCTCAGGGTAAGACAGCTAGCCCAGGTGGCACGGAGGGGACATTTTTCTGTTAGAGTTTGAAACTGTGTGAACTTTGTGGGTTTTGAGTTAAACCTGGGCCAAGTTTTCAATATTAGTTTGATGTCCTTTTTTATTTTGTGAGTGTGTATATATGTGCGTGTATTGTTTTGATTTTTTTTTCCTCAGTTTTTTTGTGTCCCATGGAATAGAACAGCTGGAGTTTGGGGGTGGCGGTGAGGAGGATGTGGGATCATATCTGAAGTATCTGTATTTTTTTCCTCCCCAGTTCCTTCTGGCCTAGTGCTACTAAGAGGCTTATGGGGTGTGTTTTTGGTTGGAGTTGCCCTAGTGTTTATCAAAGCGTGGCTTTCTTTGACCACCTGTAACAATTCACCGAAGGAGGAATCTGGTTAAAAATGCAGGTTTAGGGCCCTGCCCTAGATCGCCTCAATTAGAGACCAGATATCTACTTGTTGACTTAAGCTCCTTAGGTGATTCAGATGCATGCTCAGGCTTGAGGACCACTCAAATAGGAAAAGATTAAAAGCCAAGAAACTGAGTTTTTAATTTAAAAGGGACATCATAAGGTAGAAAAAAGGTAGATCATAAGGCTATTAAAAGGAGTTTTGAAAAGTCTAGAACACTTGGCCTTTTGGATTTTTTCTTTTAGTTCGTCAAGCTGGGAATTTTTAGGTCGAAGAAGAGTAACTTGTGGTAGAAGGACCTTCCTGTTCTGGAAAGGTCTTCTTCTTGTCTCTCCCTGTACAAATCTGACCCATTCCTCAAGGCTCACCTCCCCTCATACGTGTTCCAGGACCATTGGAGCCAGTGAAGATTTTCGTGGTTTTCAGAGCTGCCTTCACTTCCTGGTTGTTCCTTACTTTTCCCTTTTAGCCTTGGGGCCTCTTGTGTGTCAGGTTGCCCTTGAATTGGTGGTGACTTTGCCCTTGAATTTGGATTTGGGATTTACCTGCTTCATGCCTGTTGATGTTGTCTCTCCAACTAGTCTCTAAAGTCCTTAGGCTGTAGTTTATTCTTCTTTCCACGCCACTCCTGTAGCACCTGACACCATGCTTGTCATCCAGTAGGAGCATCATAAATGCTTGCAAGGCGAATGAAAGAATTTTAGAGGACATGCTGTAGCTTTGCTTGAGAAATACAAATGCCAAAGCTATGTTGAGGAATAAAGGGGAAAGTGAACCTAAAACATGCGCTTATATTCACTAAAATAGGCAAGTTCTTAAAAATGAAGTGTGCAAAGTTCTCCATCTTCTCAGTAGCTTTTAGAGAATTGCAGTGAGTCCAAATTCTTTATTTTCATTTATGAGAAACCCATTTCCATAATTCGCCTTCCATTTTCAACACTTTCTTTCAATTCCAACTATGACTCAGGCTCGCTTTATTTCTAGCAGCATGTTGTCTTTTAACTGGGGAGTGAAAAGAACTTGGAACAATGACTTTCAAACTTCCCTAGTCCTTCGATAATCATCCCTCTTAAGTGCTGAGAGATAGCTGGTGGTGCATTCACTGATGACATCATCCATTATCCGGCCCGCCATGGGCTCTTTTTCCTCCTTTTGGGATTTGATAACTGACCCTGTTTGATTTCATTTGTCAAAACGCATCTTCCCCATTTCTCCCTTCCCCCATCTTTCTTCCTTTGAAGCCACAGCTTCCCTGATTTTAGAGTGGCGGTGGGGGGGGAACTCGGGGTGGGTGGGAGGCGGTGCCTGACTGGGCTTTTTAAGTACCAGCAGCAACATTATTTCTGTATTTTTTGTTCTGCCACTGAAAATGCCTCAGCCCACACATAACTAGCTCTCATTCTCTTCTTGTTCCCCCGCCCACAGCATCCTCCCGCTCCCCCCTCCAATGCCTGCCCCCCTTCTCGGTGGCTACTTTCCTTCACAGTTCCAGAATGCTTTCATTCATCACTGTCACGGTCCCTGTCGATGGCAACTCTTCCATCTTATCTGCGGCCACCAGTAAATGAGTTCGCATTTAATATTTTAAAGAGTTTTCTTTGTTTCTGACATTTCTCCACCCACTGATACTTGCACTTATGTGGCTTGCTGTCACCTTTTTCTCTGCCAGTTGGTTGTCAGGCTCCAGTCTCCCCCAGAAAATGCAAGAGGATCATCCTGTCACTCAGGAAATCTGTCTAATTTTCCTCTGACATTGGTTGCAAGTACTCACTTTTCTTTGGGTGAGGAAGGCAGACTTAAGAAGAAGAGGAACAATTTAAGAATTTGGCAGAGGAGGCTGAAAGTTGCAAATGATTGGGCTGGATGCTGGGAAATTTTGGATTTGAGTTCCTGCCTTGGGCTGACCTGCTGTCAGTTCTGTGTGAATTACTTACTCTATCCCGTCCTCTTCTGTCCTACGGGAATGATGTTTATTTCTAAGCTGGGATGGCGGACAGGAGCAATGGATACCATATTTTGAAACTAAAAAAAACTTTGACAATAAGGATACTGCTTGCTGAAAGCTTGCTATTGCACAAGGATGGTAGGTTGTTTGCACACGTGATCTCTACTCCCCAAGACAACATTGAATCATTTGAGGCTCAGAGATCATCAGTTTCTTGCTCAAGACCACACAGCTTTATAAGCAATGGAACAAAGATTTGAACATACTTCTGTCTGTCTCCAGAGGTTACACTCTTAGGATTTTGTTACGCAAGCTCAGGGTGGTACTGGGCACAACTGGGTGTTCTCACTGATTTGTATCTCCTCTTAAGACATCCACTAATTTGGGGCTGATGCGTGACTAGGAGTGTCTGAGTTTGAATTTCAGCTCAGCCATTTACTGACTACCTAAATTTGGGCCGGTTATTTAACCGTTTTGTGTCTGTCGTGTCCGTGAAATGGGGATGATAAAGGATGAGAACAGCTTCCACCCCATAGGTTTGTTGTGGGGCTTAACCAGTTAATATAGATACAGTACATTTGCGTAACACATTGTCAACCCTCAGTGATCATAGCTCTCACCATCATCAGCCACCGCGTTATTTCCCCACAGTGGTTTTCCCCGGACCTGTTCTGTGTAGCTGATTGGCTATGTTCCAGATGTTTTCTTCCTTATTAAACAAAGAAACAAACAAGCTCTTTGTTGTATGTCTTCTTTTCAGAGTCTTAATTGTGTACCTTCCAAGGTGACTCATCCTTCCAAGATGAATTAACTCATTCTGGGGTAGAAGTAGATGCTTTATGTTTGACTTCAAGTTTCTGATGATACTGTTCTTTAAGAGGTAAAATCACTTAGTATAGATTTTAATTTGTGGTGCTCTGAACTTGAATGGAATAAGGCGTGGGGTGGTTTGTGGTATAGTTAGGAGGAGAGCATGTTTTATTCAAATAGAGTGGGGCCACTTTTCTATCTTTTCTGCATACATTTAGCTTCCTGGTAAAAATTTTGTTGGAATTATAAAAATAGCAAACACTTACATAGTAAGTACTTTGTGCCTGACCTTGTTCTCAACACTAAATATTATTTCATTTAAGCCCCACGATAAGCTATGAAGTAGACATTATCCTCATTTTACAGAAGAAGTTAAAGCACGGACAAGTAACTTGTTCAAGGCCAAATGACTAGTAAGTGCTTGAATTGGGATTCAAGCCCAGGCAGTAGTCTTTGCTCCTATACTGTATTGCTTCTGTTCGAAGAAAAAGTTGTCTCATCCTTTTTAAAAATAAGTTTGAAAACCAACTGAGTTTTTTTTTTATTAAAGATTTCATTTATTTATTCATTTGACAGAGAGAGACAGCGAGAGAGGGAACACAAGAAGGGGGAGTGGGAGAGGGCGAAGCAAGCTTCCCGCAGAGCAGGGAGCCCTATGCAGGCTCGATCCCAGGACCCTGGGATCATGACTTGAGCCAAAGGCAGACACTTAACGACTGAGCCACCCAGTCGCCCCCCAACTGATCTTTAATAATGAAAATTTAAGGAATTGATTTGTGGTGAGGTTAGGTGACGTCCGAAAGCTGTCACTCTGAAACTGTAGTTTTTGTTTCAGTATTGCAGTATTTTTATTGTTTCAACATTTCACTTACTCTTTAGTAACCAATACTGTAATTTTCTTTTTAAGTTTTTAAAAAGATTTTATTTATTTATTTATTTGACAAAGAGACACAGCGAGAGAGGGAACACAAGCAGGGGGAGTGGGAGAGGGAAAGGCAGGCTTCCCACGGAGCAGGGACCCCAACGTGGGGCTCGATCCCAGGACCCCGGGATCATGACCTGAGCTGAACACAGACGCTTAATGACTGAGCCACCCAGGCGCCCCCAAACCCTGTAATTTTCAAGCAGCATTCTGCCACCAGGTAGTTGAAGAGAGCTGTAAAATCGTGTGATTCATAAGGCTTGAGGCAGAAATCAAAATGGCCACATGTCCTTTTTAAATTAAAGTACTCTTAGCAGAAAAACTCTTAAATAATATGAGTCTTAATTTTTAAAGAATTCCTTATGGGACAAAATCACAATGACACAGAGCCCCTACAGACCATGTCATAGAAAAAAAATGGCTGAAAGAATTAAGGTGGTTTCACCTACAGCGAGGAGACTTATGGAGATGAGAGAAGTATCTTCAAAAATGTGAGCATCCAATGATTGTCATGAAGTGGGACTTGGATTGCTCTCTTTTGTACTTAAGGGCTGAACTAGAGCTAATACATAAAAATTATAGAGAAAGTAGATTTTGGCTCAGTGTAAGGGAGGCTTTTAATAAATAGCTCTTATTTACTGAAGCAAAACTTCCTAATGAGTGCTCTATTATGACTACAATATACTTGGGGAAATAAGATGTCCTGGGATGCTTATTAGGGAACCCTTCATAGATATCTTTTCTTAGCCATTAAGTGTACTCTTACAATTCGTTAAAATTTGGTCCTAGAAGACAGTGGCCACTTCACTGTACACACATGCACCATTTATTGGATTCTTCTTAACAAGTCTCAGATCTTGTTTAAGCTTTGGTTTACTACTCAGAAACTATTTTGTGGTTGATGGCTGCTACTCTCTTTTAGGTGGACTGTCGTTTGTGTTCTACCCTTTGCATTCTGACTTGGAAAGCCCAAGAGGCTTGATCTTTAGACCTGTGAGAGCACTAGAAATCCCACATACCTCCACCAGGAGGATGGAGAGCATCTAATCCTCTAATTCTAATTCATCTAGAGTTTCCTGGCATCCTAACATTTTTCCTGAGCAATTACCCTATAATGGAGGGAGATTGGATTATAAAATGACGGAATCTTGTAAAACAAAATGGAAAGGAATATGAAAAAAAATTTTAGGTTTTTATTTAAATTCCGGTTAACATACAGTGTTATATTAGTTTCAGTTGTATAATATAGCAATTCAGCATTTCCATACATCACCTGGTGTTCATCATAATATAGGCACTCCTTAATCCCCATCATCTGTTTGACTCATCTCTCCCCCCGCCCCCAACCCTTCCTTCTGGTAACCATCAGTTTGTTCTCTATAGGTAAGAGTCTGTTTCTTGGTTTGTCTCTCTCTTTTACCCACTTTGCTCATTTGTTTTGTTTCTTAAATTCCACAGGAGTGAAATCATAGGGTACTTGTCTTCCTCTGACTGACGTATTTAACTTAGCATAATAATCTAGCTCCATCCATGTCATTGCAAATGGCAAGATTTCATTTTTTAATGGCTAAGTAATATTCCATTGTATATATATAAATATATACCACATCTTTATCCATTCATCAATTGATGGACACTGGTTATTGTTGACAATGCTACTATAAACATCAGAGTGAATGTATCTGTTTGAATGAGTATTTTTGTATTCTTTGGGTAAATACCTAGTAGTGTGATTGTTGGACCATAGGGCAGTTTTATTTTTAACTTTTTGAGGAACCTCCATACTGTTTTCCACAGTGGCTGCACCAGTTTGTATTCCCACGAACAGTGCACAAGGGTTCCTTTTCCTCCACATCCTCACCAACACCTGTTGTTTTTTGTGCTGTTAATTTTAGCCATTCTGACAGATATGGGGTGTTATCTCATTGTAGTTTTGATTTGCATGTCCCTGATGAGTGATGCTGAGTATCTTTTCTCGTGTCTTTTGGCCATCTGTATATCTTCTTTGGAAAAATGCTTATTCATGTCCGGAATCTGAAAATTTTAAAATCTCAGGGTGGACCTTGGAGTAGCCCATAAGAACTTCAAGGTATTTTCCTTTTTTGATGCTTCAGACTCAGGGAAAAGGTTTAATCATTTATCTTGAGAAGAATAGTTTTGTTAAAAAAGAACTTCGATTTCTTTCAGGAGAGCAAACTCCAGTAAGAGCTCTTGAAATATGTTCTTCAAGATCATTCTGAGACAGAGTTGAGGTTAAAGATGCTATTTCATCTGCAGTCTGCCCTGTAGTATCAAATATTGCCTCCGTTTGTAATTTATCAAATTTCACGATCCCATGACAGATAGAAGACCACTTTGATGAAATGCTTAGGAATAGATGGTATCTTGTGTGTCAGCCTTAAATATAGTAAGATTTTAGACAATTTAGAAATCACTCTTGGAAGTATACAATAGTTT